TCATATTCCCCCGGCCCATCCGTCAACATCAAGGATATATATATCATTGGCATACATGGGCCCACCCGTCTCCATCGGAAATAATATGTGTCCCGGCCCATCCGTCATCATCGAGAATATACACAACATGGGCCCATAATCCGCTGGCCCATCTCATACGGGATATTATGTAGGTCGGGTGGCCCGTATAATACGGAATTTGTCACTGAAGGGGCTCAACTTGCAGCATCACACTGTATGCTATCCGCAGCTATTCCCTTACGAGACGCAGCTTTCCCATGCAATGCGCAGCACACGCGCACGACTTCCCGCGTGCGCACTTTCCCGCGCTTGAGCGCCCTATAGCGCCAGCCATCCAGACGCATCCATCCACTGTCCACCAAGCTCTCTAGTGTGTATGTTCCCATTTGCCCTTATTTGCATATTGTTCCACCTTTATTTTTATCATGGACCCTTACTTACATACATATATCTTTGCATACTTTACTTGGTAGCGATTCGGCTCCGCATGACAGCGCTTAGGCACCATATAAGCGCCAGCATTACATACTATTACCCACTTTCCACTTTACCTCCCACTTACCCACTTACTACCTAGCAGAATATAGTTGCAATCTATTCTTTGGCACCTCGTCTCTCAGCTTGCATCTCTCACCTCATCTAATATCTAATCATCACTTAAGCAAACTCACTCTTACTCTCTCTCATTTCCGCTCACACGCGCGCACCTTCGCTTTCCCGCACCTCGTTGCGCACACCTGCGCTTTCACGTGCTCCACATTAGCCAACCAGTAGCGCCTTCAGCACCTACTACCAGATCCTTGCTGCACTTGCTTCCCCTTTAGGGTCAAACGCACTTGTTGTCTCAAGTATAGCAGACTAGGCAATGCGCGACCTCACAACATTATAGATACAGTCAGGAGCTTCATTTGTTCCTCTCTGTATTGTTGTTTCTACAGCGGGAAACTTCCGGAGGAACTTCTGGAAATTACAATGAGGTTTCGTCCTGATACGGATACATGTAATAGCTACTTAGGACTTGTCCTAAGTAGTAGCAAACAAAGGAAAGGCTGCAAGGACAAAGTCCAAAGCAGAGTAGGTCCGGAGGACTGTGGGAAAGTTCCAGAGGAACTTCTGGAAACTCGGAGGAATGGAGGATCAGATGAGCAGAGGAGTGTTATGACTGGGATGAGTCAAGCCGTCTGAGTCCCAATGGATGTTCTTGCTTGGCAGCGAGACGGACGTGGTTCTTCTCTCGAATGAGAGGTCAAGAGTATTCTGGCTAAGGCGAGTGTTGGCGACTCCCTTAGAATAGTAGTTCTTAGACAGTAAGGTTGGAGGCCTTACTGAAGGACAAGTTCCAGGTAAAACCCAGTAGATTAAAGTGAGGAATACAATCGGTGAACTACATGTCTATATAGCGAATGTTCAAGCGGAGCTTGTAAATGGTGTATCAAGATAAGGAGATAAGTGATAGCAAACATAGCGCGGACAGCCCGCTTGATGGGAGATAAGGAAAATGAATAGGGGGTCTAAATGTTATTGTAACAAGGAGCAGAGCTCCAGCCTAGGGAATTCCTCCCTAGGCCTAAGGTGGATGTTTAGCAAGGAAGGAACTAGTTATGAGGACTTAGTGTGAAGGCTAGTGCAAGGACTAATATGATATTCAGACTAAGGAAATACAGGAGTATCTACAGGAGTTTATATACTGGAGGCAAGTCTGTGCATATCAGTAAGCAGAGGGGCAAGGCTATATACGAGCATGTGGAAATGTATTAGTAAGTGAAATGGATCATAGGAAATGAACTCGGAGATGAAACTCATACAAGGATCAATAAGCAAAACGGAAACAGAGATAACCGAAGACCGCTCTTGTTCAGGCTGGCAAGCCAGCAGAGAGACTTCACATTTCTGTGTATATTCTCTGGGAAACTGGATGATGCTACGATGCCAGAAAACTTATCTGGTGCGAAGTATCAATCATGCATACACACTTCAGTCATTACATAGCCACTCAGACTCTAGCATGAGTCCAGATGTTGAAGACTTGCTGACAAAAATTGAAGGAATACCTTTGTGCGTGGGCAGCCTATTCATTGGACCTGTTCGTGCATGGCCCATCTGCATGACTGCTATAGTACTAGTAGGCTTTTATGCTCCAACATACCTGACCAATTCCATACTATCTGCAATTGTATCAGTGAGCTCTAGATCTACCTAGGTAGTTTCTTGGCTGTTAACATTTCTGACCTCTACTGTGGTGTAGCTGGATAGGAAGTGTTAATGTGTTGTAGGAATACAACAATTGCTGGACACTACCAGTCCTGGTATAGACCAGTTGCAGTTGACTTTTCATCAGTCTAATGTTAGAGGTCAAACAAGGCAACTGGCAACCATAAGATGTTAAATTAAAGTGGCAGTATGGTTTAGTCTGCAGTTGTTGACCAGTTGTGCAACTGGACTTTTAAACCCTATACAGTACTGTAGAGTTACGACTATAACTTCATCACATGTCCCACCCCCTGACAAATTGAAGCTATTGAAGTGACATTCACACTGAATTTGGGATCATGAAGCTATTTTGTGACATATAGTAAAATAAGACAAAAAAACATAAAAATTGCTAAAAATTTTCAACCTATTTCTGTGCAGCCAATCACATACAATGAGCCTCCATGACTTGCTTGTCACAAAGCTCTCACAAGAGTACAAAATATAGGATAGATTCGAAGCTAATTACATGGTCACACCCAAAAAGGTTCGAAGTTATGATCGTAACTCTACAGTACAGTGAACAGCCTTACAGTGCGAGTCACTAAGAGCCAGCAACTCTCCTGTGGCAGCCACTTTGCTCAGCGCACTCTAAAATTAAAATTTCAATAGGAAACATGATTGAAATAAGCATAAATATAATTTCCCAAAAATCATGGATATTACGTAATTGTTCACTTTTGAGTTGAAACTAAAGAAGTCGAAGTTACCATCCCCAAATGCTTCCTCTGATGAAAAGGCAGAAGCAAGCAAAGCTTCAAAAAAGTTGGCGGTACATGGATGCTTACAGGTGCTCAACCATTTTAATATCTTAACAATTCTTACTCACTTTTTTTCAGAAAAGGCCTCAATGCACATCAAGTGTTAAGAACGTACTCAAGGGTCAAATCCGAAGGGCTTGGCTTCAGCTCGTGTGCTGCGCCCCTTACCCGAGTACATGCCCCTAACTTCCGAAGGCTGTCAGACAATGTCTGGAGTCCAATGTCCGATGCACGGGAATTCCAGCAGACATTCGGGAATGAGTGATAAGACTAATCCGGACAATGTCCGAACTAGAAAGGAAACAGCGGAGGACTACCAGAGGTAGAGGCGGAGGTGAGAAGTCTATAGGAGTTGATCCTAAGACTAATGGAGGATGATGAGAGAAGAAACTCAAGTCGGACGGAGGAGGGAATGAGCAGAGTCTAAGATAATATTCAAACTAAGGAACTACAGAGACTGTACAGGGTTTATATACTACTGAGGACATAACAGAGAAACAGTCAGTGCAGTGCGAGGCTATGCAAGGCTATGGACAGAGCATGTGGGACGACTATCACTAGTTTATCTGTTAAGAACGTGCTCAAGGGTCGGATCCGAAGGGCTTGGCTTCAGCTCATGCGCTGCGCCCCTTACCCGAGTACGTGCCCCTAACTTCCGAGGGTTGTTGAACGATGTCCGAAGGTTACCGGACGATGTCCGGAGGGCGTCGGGCGATGTCCGGAGTCCGATGTCCGATGCGCGGGAATTCCGGCGGACATTCGGAAACAAGAGATAAGACTAATCCGGACGAAGTCCGAACTAGAAAGGAAACAGCAGAGGACTACCAGAGGTAGAGGCGGAGGTGACAAGTCTATAGGAGTCGATCCTAAGACGAGCGGAGGTCGACGAGAGAGAAACTCAAGTCGGACAGAGGAGAGAATGAGCAGAGTCTAAGATGATATTCGAACTGAGGAAACTACAGAGATTGTACAGGGGTTTATATACTACTGAGGACATAACGGAGAACAGTAAGTGCAGTGCGAAGCTATGTAAAGCTATGAAGAAAACATATGGGACGACTATCACTAGTCTATCAGAACTTAGTAAAATGAAGACGGAAATGAATAAGGAACGGAAAATAAAGTGTACTAACTGATAAGGGGAATACCAAAGGGATAAGGCACGGAAGTTAGACGCGGGTCGGATCCGGACGATACATAGAAGTCGGCCGGATCCGGAAATCCGGAAATGATGAGTGTGATAGGTCCGGGTCCGAAACGCGGGATATGACACTATCGGAACTTAGTAAAATGAAGATGGAAATGAATAAGGGATGGAAAATAAAGCATACTAACTGATAAGGGAAATACCAAAGGGAAAAGGCACGGAAGATAGGAGCTAACCGGATTCGGAAGTCCAGAAGTCCGGAGATGATTGCGTGATTGGTCCGGGTCTGGAACGCGGGATATGACAGTCAAGCCAAATTCACTGTTAAGAAATACAAGTCACATTGTCAGTGTGGTCCTAAATTAATGATGAGCCTTGGTATCCTTGTCAATTAAATATGTAGTCCACGTGATAACACTGAGATGCCGTGTTCCATAAAAGGAAACTCCGACAATCTCTGCATGAAGTTCACTTTTCGGTGACCAAATTTTCTACATCTTAGGTTTTTCAAAAAAAGATCGAGATAGTTTCAATGTACTACTCTATCACAGCCCGTCTGTAATATTTTGAAGGCGAAAGAGGGCCCTGTGGAGGTGTAGATAGACTTGCAATTTTCATGCTCGCTAGTTGCAGGTTTTGAGTGACTTGCACTGTACTAAGTTACAATGTTTGGCTCGCTTAGTAAGCACCTGTTTGAGCTTGTTGTTCACAGGCTCATGTGTAGGATAGTGAGTGACTAAGCTGTATGCCAAATCATGTCAATAATACCAAACAATGTAGTCAATATATAGCAGTGACCCAACTTAGGATGATGATGAATCATCTCCTTGTGGTATAATACCTGCTCTTAGCCTCACACCATACAGCAAGTAATCACACTCCCTTGGTGCATTCTAATCTCTCATCTAATCTCTCATGGACTTACACTTCTCAAAGTAGCTCAAGGCCTTACTTAGCTTTCTGTTGCTTTCTATACTATCATGAAACAGTGGGCAAGAATGTATGACACACCACTTATGACACACCAATTTGTAACTGCACATGCAGGACCACATGTTAGTAGTATTGCACATGTTTGCATCAAGTTCTACTACCATTGCTGATCAAATGATTCTTCAACTTGCAGGGACAGGCTTTCACTGGGGGTATCAATTTCGCATTGGCAGATAGTTTCCCCAAAGACTCGGGTTCCGAGTCCAAACATGACAAGTAAGTATTATCAGCCATTGCCTCGCCACTAACTGTCTTCGAGTTCAATGTCCAAAAGTACTTACATTACAAACCCACTACTAGGATGGTGCCCTCATCAGTCTCACCCCCTCCAAGTCCAAATGAAGCAGTTCCTCGACTATCCCGAGGTGCAATGCTAGCAGACAGAGGCACTGTTCAGCTAGAACAACGTGATCTTCCTTCATGGACACCAATGGTTGTTTCGGATAGCGAAGGCGGTATGGATGAGCTCCCTTTAGGTGTGGAGGAATCAAAAGCCTCGCCTTCGAATGCGAGAAAAACGCTGTCACAGAAACGCAAGAAAAATCCAAACCATGGTCCTTCGATTGCAATGCCTCGACAAGAAGTCCAGCAGGCACCTTCAGGCGTCTACTCTGGGTTGGGGGATTCCTGCGGTTCCCAAAGTTTGCAGGAGATGCTGCAAGCAACATTCAGCGCCAATGGTTCATACAATATCTCGCCGCCAGCCGCACCTATTGAAAGCGAGGGGAGCAGCACCGACGTGCAAGCTGTGATTTATAACAAACAGCGCCGCCAAATTCATGATACTCGCAGAAGCACAAGCCAGGAGGGTTCAGAGCCTATCGCAGTAGTCGATGCTTCAATACCTAATACCAACACAGCGGTTCCGACCATAACTCGTCGCAAAGCCGCGTCCGCCATTCCTTACGAGTCTATGCAAAAGGTTATTGATGCTGCATTGGACACTCGGGTAGCCAAAATTGCTTGGCGTCGTCGGCGCAATGCCACAGGGTGCGACACCAATGAAGAGTCGCAGGATGAGACTTCGAGGACAAACTGCTTTCCCTTCGAAGACGCCATTTTTGACTTCGATGTTTCAACCTCCGCACGTCAGGGAGATCACCACAGTAAAATCAAGTCGGGGCTAGCTCCAGTCGAGGATGAACATTTTGCCTTGCCGCGCAAATTTACGCGAATTCTTGATGGCGTTCAAGTTACCTCTCTTCCACAGCAATCCAGAGGGGATAGATTCAACGAACGACTGTATGTAATGTTTGGGGGCGCAGACGCACCTCACTCGCCTGACGTATTAATTGCTCACGTGAGTACCATGCATCGCAGATAGAAATGAACACAACCTGATATATTGTAACCACAGGCAACTGCAGATTCGGCGTCTATCTTCGCGCCAGTGCGCGAGGCTGCGGCAAGCAAAGAAAACAGCCCTGTCTCATTCAGCGATTCAGGAGTATCGATTGACACGTCGCTCTCGCAAAGCACCAAAGCCACAAGTATTTCTGGGCGCAACGATGTCTCTCGAAAGAGAGTTTATACGGAGAGTCGCCTCGGGGATGAACCTGTTCGAAAGAAGCATAAGATTGAGGTTGCAGAAGACCTGGTGTCCAAATGGATTACGGCGTTGCAACGACTTGTTAAGGGAAAAACGAAGATTGGCCATAAGGTACGGAATGAGTCTCCGATATCTGCATTCTGTTGTTCACATACATCAGGACATGGAGGATTTGAGCATAGTGTTGGCCGAGATAGAGTCTGTATACCCGCACCTAGATTCAGAACTTGCACAGGTTGGTCAGCTTTAATAATTCACTGGCAATATTCTCAACCAGTCTACTCGTGTTTAGGTCACTTGTCTTCGAGACGTCTTACAGCAGACATCGCAGTTGGAAGAAATTCCATTTAAGGACGAACATGACCTTCGCCGTCGCACGGATGGCATTATCGCAGAATGGCCCAGTGTTAAAGCCTAACTGATAAATTGATGGGGAGATTCCGAATGTTTTTGGTGCATTGCGTACATTACTTGGGGGTAAACTTTTATACCCAAGTATGGAACACATACAACTTTTTGGCAGCGTCATTGGTAGTTACCAATTAGGTCTTGCAGTTTATTGCGATCCGAGCTCGCGCTCTTTCATACATACGATATTGGCAATAATACAAAAATCCATCATGAACGAAAACATTTCAATAACTAGCTTCTTCAGTCTGCCGTCTCCACCGCCTCTGGTTATCAATCATCTCTAGGAATATACTGTATTTAGCATCTAGTAATTTTTTCACTGTCGACGACGCCCCAGGGGCCACAAGGGTACCAGTAGGTGTCATTTCGACCTGAATGGTAAAATCAGCATCTACACAGCAGAATACACAGGATATCTTACCATGATCTTCCACATGTCTTCTCCGTCTTTAGCACCCTCCGCTGCAATCCTTCCCAGCATCGCCGCACCAAGAACCACCGCCTCAGAATATGACCTGGGCAAGATGACGGGGATGCCACATGTGTCCGCAAAGAGCTGCATTATTACCACATTCTTCACCTGCCCACCAGAAAGATACAGAGAGGTAATGCCATGCCCTGCCGCGTTGAGAACGTCGATGATGTGGCGAGTTTGAAGGGCGATAGCTTCCAGAGTAAGGTAGTACTTGCGAGCGAGGTCGTCTATAGATGCGTCCTGAAGTAATCAAGATGACTTGATTGAAGTTCTCAATTAGAGGAGTGACTTACCAGCTCAAGACCGACAATGGAACCTCTCATTCGAGAGTCGGCGATTGGAGATCTGTTTCCTGCGATAGTTGTGAACAAAGATACGAATATCGAACTATAGCTCATCTCACCATGGAAATCAGGATAGAAATGTACATTCTTCGTAAGTTCCGTGTAAGTATGAACATTATTCTCGTTCCGCAACTTTTCGAGGACGTCCAGTAAGACTAGAGACGCATATCAAGGCACTGCTTGCGTTGCTCCAGCATGAAAAGTTGTACAGACCATCATGTGTGCATTTTCCCTCTTGCTTTGCACGTTCTTTGAGTTCAGGATACGCGGTGTGAGTGGTGATGATAAAGTCAATAAGTTGTCCTGTAGACGACTGGCCCCCTTCATTCATCCACCAACCAGGGAAAACTGTGTCCTATTGAAAATATACCATTAAGATATGGCATGTTATGCAGAATAGCAATAGTATACCCTATATGGACCCCATACGCCCTTTACGAAGACACCATCCCTACTCTGCAACACTGTTGACGTCTTGATGAAGATGGATTGAGCAAGATAACTTACCTGAACAATATGGCAAGTACTCGTTCCGGCAACAATGGCCAAACGGTGCCGAGACTCGTCGAGAGAAGGAAGCACGTTTGAAAGTTGACCATTCTCTATGTATCGAGCTGCAACTGTGCCCATCCAACCAGCATACCTAGCACGACGCCAACAGCATTCACACTCAATAGACATATGGATGTAATATGACATACCCGTCAATCAGACCACTTCCAACAGCAGTACCTTCCACAAGTCCAAGTTCTTCAGCTGCCTTTTGAGATAACCCTCGACCAACTGGGCTTCCGGCAGCATGCACTTGCCCCCTGGCGGCGCCCATATGCTTCCAGTTATCGCCATCGACAAGTTCGCCGAGACCAATGCGCTCAAAGAAGTCCGGCTGCCAGCCTTTGTCGGGAACATAAGAGCACTTGCATGTAACCGAACAAAAGGAGCGTGTGTTGTCTCCTGTTGCCTTGTATGTGAAAAAATCGGGAAGATCAAAAAATTGGCATCGGGCAAACAGGGCAGGGTCCATGCGCTTCTTGAGCCAAAGAATCTTGGGCACCTCCATCTCAAGCTACTCCAAAAGTAGAATTAGTAAGGTATATTGGACTCGCAGCTGCTACATACACTCATGGTTCCGCCTACATAATTCAAGACAATCGACCCAGTGGAGTTGATAAGTTCAGCTTCCTTCTCGGCGCGATGATCTGCCCACAGAATAACGTTCCGATCGCCATGCATGCCGATACCACTACCCTTGGTCACTGTTATCGAACTCCCGCCAAAGTCCGCCACAGCGAGAGAGCACGTAGCATCGAAGCCAAGCCCCTTGACTGCGGTTGCAGGAACGCTAGACTGCTTCAATATTTCCTTCACCGCGGTACAAATCTGCTCCCATATATTGTTCGTGGATTGCTCGAAAATACGGTAGTCGTGCTTATCACGCCAGGTGATGATATCCTTCGTGGAAGATGCTTTTATCTCACCGTTTCGTGCAACGAGAGATGCGCGAGCAGAACCGGTACCGATATCAATGCCGATGAAGTAGGGCGTGTCGTGACTCATTGGAACAGACGATACTATGGGGTCAGGGAGTCGGAAATGAGCAAATACATGGTTTAAATCATGTTGGAATACTCGTCAGTGACTGTCAGACAAGTACGCCATCTGACCCTGAGTTGTCACAGTTGAACTTAAGTCGATTGCACTGGGTCGACCTTGCTTGATCTAGACCGTTCGACGCCTTATTATGAGACATATCGTGAGGTCAGGAAATTAGCCAAGGTTGAGCCCAGGACGCCTTATTTGGAACCGTTAGGCGATGAGACCAAGGCAAGAGTTGTGATTAAAAATAAACTTCCTTCAATGAACCGGTACTTACCGGTACTCTTGGATAGTGGTTTTATGTAATTACACAACCTTACTGATCATCATCATGTCTTCGACAACCCGTCCAATCGTTTTCATGGATATCAATATTGGAGAGACGCCAGCGGGTAGAATAAAAATGGAGCTTTTCAGTGATGTTGTCCCAAAGTTTGCGGCTGCTACCCGTGGCTGTGTGTTGTTCTGATCAAAGTTTACAGAACTGCTGAGAACTTCAGGCAGCTTTGCACCGGCGAATGCAGGTATGTCCAGGCCATAAAGACAAACAATTCTTTATGAACGCCTCAAGATTAGACGTGATGCACGACCACAGGGTTACAAGAATGCAACTTTCCACAGGTAATCATCACCACAACCTCGAGTGATCGACTTTCGCTGATGGCTTCTGCGCAGAGTGTATGATAACATCTTCTTGATGTTCATGATGATTAACGCGTGCGCCTCAGCGTACCGAATTTCATGTGCCAAGGTGAGCATACCTGTAACAATATCTTTTTCGGCCAGCCAATCCCATGTCTGCCTGTAGGTGGTGATTTTTTGAACGGTGATGGAACAGGATCATTCTCGATATATGGAAAGAATTTCCCTGTAAGTGTACTTGCGCTCTTCGTGGCGCGGCGCACAAGTTGACCTTGCGCCACAGGATGAGAACTTTCAAGAGAAGCACACTGGACCCGGCTTACTTTCCATGGTTTGCTGTGTCTTCTCCGTTCGCAAACATTTATCTCATAATGATTTGTAGGCAAATTCGGGCCCAAATACAAACGGATGCCAGGTATTGCTCCCTACAATTCCGCATTTCTACCTCGATCCTGATCCTTACAGTTTTTCATAACCACGGCAAAATGTGATTTCTTGGACGGAAAGCATGTGGTGTTTGGCAAGGTCATCGATGGCATGTTGACGCTTCGTAAAATCGAGAATGTCCCTACGGGACAGAATAACAGACCAAAATTGGTCGTGAAGATCGTTGGTATGTGGTCGATTTAACACTTTGAAAAGGTGTCTCACATGTACATCGCAGAGTGTGGGGAAATGTAACCGCCTGTTCACAAAAACATCAACAGGAGAATGAATGCGATTGATCACCTATCCGAGCGGGGAGGCTCGAGTTGATTGGACCCATACATTGAGGACTTGTCGCATCGGCGGATGTAAACTTAGCATAGACATTCATTGCATGTACTCTTTTCATAATTCATTCTTTACCGAGTTATATGGTGAGGATGTAAGACGTCATGATACCTAGAGCTTTGGTTCATTCAATGCCAGTCAGGAAACATAGATTTTGGTTGTGGTGGAAGATACATGGGCTTATCAATGGCCATAGCGAATAAGTGACTAGTGATCTAGTCCGATGCGGTTGTCAGCCGGGCTAAATTGAGGGTTGATCAACCTCATCCATAATGTGAAACATTGAGAAGAACGCACTGTAAATGAGCTGGCTAGAGTGATGCACAATGCGCTTGATCAAGCCCTCCTTCTCCAGATGTCTGATGGCAACGCGTGCCAAGCTTCCGTTGACCTTCAATCGCTCAATAAGAATGCTCTGGCTGATGAGACGCCAGGTGGGAGCTTCCTTCATGATACGGTCGAATGTAGCTTTGTCACAGACGACGGCGTGCTGTGCCTTGTCCTTGACCTTTCCCTTCGACCACTTCTTCTTCTTAGCAGCTTTTCCGCCCGACGATGATGGTGGTGGTGCTTTTGCCTTGGCCTGAATCAAACGTAGTCAGCACCACATCTACATGCTTGATACATCATCCAAGGGCTGCAATACTCTGAACATCCTGCAGTCCAAAGAACCGGCATGTTTCATGCTCTCTGCCCTGGAAATCATCATCAAGGGAGGATACTCACCATAATGTCGTGGCCTCTTCGTCAATGTCGATGAACTGCACCTGGTCTGGCCTGCCGCCAATCTCTCGGCGAAATCCGATTATTTAGGCGCCGCATCAAACTCGCTGACGTAACTGTGGCACCGGTTAAGTGGGAGAGAGTTACAAGTATCCCACTGAAGTTTGGGTCGACAATGCATCCCTGGCTACTCCTTGCCCTCGCGCTTCCATCATTAGCAGCACTCGACAAGACCCATGGCGTTCCTCCCTCTCTCGTGTCGAAATACGTACCCAGCACGAAGGGTTCGCGCCAGACATGGACGTGTTTAGATGGTTCAAAGGAAATTGCCTGGAGTGCGGTGAATGATGATTATTGTGATTGTCAGGATGGTAGTGATGAGCCAGGTGCGAATCCGGGTGGTTATGGTCAGGTAACTCAGTTGTATTGACGTAGTTCTATGTTCTGTAAGGCTCGAGTGCGTGTCCCAATAACAAGTTCTACTGCCGCAATGAGGGCCATATTGGGGCAACTATACAAAGCTCTCATGTGAATGATGGCCTTTGCGGTAAGTTTATAGACGTGGTAGCGTGAATTCAGGATACTCATTTGAACATAGAGCAGGAATGCTGTGATGGATCAGATGAACTCCCAGGCGTGTGTCCGAACACTTGCCAGGAAGTCGGAGCAGAACACAAAAAGAAAATGGAAGCAGAGCGGAAGCTGCGAAAGACTGGATCCAAGATACGATCTTCATACATTGCGTACGCGCATAAGGAGAAAAAGCGCTTGGAGACACTCATTGCTGATCTTGTCAAAGAGATTGAAACGAGAGAGAAAGAGGTGGAGAGATTACGAGGTATTAAGTTAGTTCAAGAGTCGAGAGCTTTTGTGGTAACACAGCCTTTTTCAGACATTGCAGAACGCGCAGAATCCCTCTCGGCTGATGAGTTGGAGCATAAGAAACAGTCCCGTACGTGTGTCCTGACAAATTCCCTGTAATATTGACTCGCAGGTATCTTGCAGCCCTCTACCAGTCACTCCTCGTACATAATACCGCACTCAAGTCCCTTCAGAAAGAACACAAGAAGCACCTGGAACGCGAGAAAGCTCTTGGTGACATCTTGACCTCACTCCGCACGGGCTATAACCCTAACTATCAAGATATGGCCGTCCTCGAGGCTGTGCGCGGCTGGGAGGCACTAGCAGGATTACCTCACATAAACGATGTACGCAAGGGTGACGATGGGGAAGCTGACGCTACCACAGAAAAACAGAAAACAGAGGACGATGTTGAAGATGAAGGTCTCTGGAATGCAGCAAAGATCGAGAAGGAGTTGGATCAGTTAATAAAAACCGATCATGTGACGCTGCTGCTAGAACATGACCAGCTTGTCGGGCCTGCTTCGGCCCAGTCCCTCTGTAAGTTAAAAGTAATTACCGGTACCTCAAGAAACTGACCAGGTTTAAAGTGCTTGAGATCTCGGCCTACCTTCCAGACGCTCTGCTCCCATCCTATTATAGTTTCCGCGACTCGGTCCTCTCGGCTCTATCAGTTTTCGGGATCGGGCGCGGAGGCACATCCGACGCGTCTGCTGGTAACTATATGCTATATGACTGAATGTGTGTGCTCATTCCACCTCAGAATCAAATCGTGCACGTGTAGCCCTTTCAGACGCGGAACACAGCCTCAAGCTGACACAGGACGAGCAACGAACTGCAAATGAAGACCTCATGGATCTCTTTGATCCTGATGGCTTTGGCCCAGAAGGCGAGTGGAAAAAACTTGACGGCACGTGCCTATCAAAGGATACTGGAGAGTAAGTGTTGTTGCTTCGAATTACTTGGAAGTATACTTACTTTTCGAAGTTACACTTACGAGGTTTGCCTCTTTAACGAGGCGAGGCAAATTCCCAAAAGCGGTGGTTCCGGCTTCAGTCTCGGGTATGTTGTTTAGGTGTAAATGCTATGAAGGTACTTATCTATGTGCCTTCCAGGAAATTCTCGTCCTGGAACAAGACTGCTCGACCTGGTGAGCCAGAATATTATACCCGACAGCACTATACCCAGGGGGCCAAATGCTGGAACGGCCCCCATCGCAGTGTTGAGGTGAATATTGCATATTTTCATTCTCTCCCATAATATTGATTTATTCTTCTTATAAGCTCGTCCTCACATGTGGCACTGAAAATACATTACTGACGGTAGCAGAAATGGAAAAGTGCGAGTACCAAATTACAGGCACGACCCCGGCACTATGTCGCCCACTGGAGGACGAACACACCAAAGACGAACTATAGACTTTTTGGCATTAAGTCCAGGTGTAGTACTCTCAATGCATGTATTTATTACGTATCAGGTTCTCCTGAAGTTCTACTTCCATCCTCTCGGGACACGAGTTTTAATCAGGAAACCTCAAAGTCTGAAATTCGTGGAGTCAGGGAACTCGAGTCCGCCGGACAGTTTTGGGGATCGCGTGCGCCCGGATTGGCATGAGTAATCAAAGCATACATGGATTCCAACCCCGCTCGATGTGTTATGGCTTACCGGTCACCTAGTGTATTCCCGACGCCGATAGTTGTGAAAAAAAAAATGAATTTGAACTAACTAATGAACTGATAGGAGACTCTTCAGCCTCGTGTGACGAGCGAAGCCATCATTAATGTATCGAGGACCTACTTGGCATGGGAAGCTTGAGTGATGGCAGAGTCAACGGACGTGGCAAAATATAACTGGAAGATGAAGAAAGTACCTTGATGTATCCTATTTCAATTCCATTGTGATAACTACTTTAGCCAGGACACTTCCTTGACACAATCTTCCAAGGAACTGTCCATGAGTGAATCCCTCAGGAGAGTATGTTGCAATAGCAAAAAAAGCTTATCATCCAGTCATTGGTTCAAGCCCAATTCTGTTGTGGGTGACCACTTTGGCCCGGCAACTTCCTAACAAATGTACAGAGGACTGTGCATGAGGGTGATAACCAGTAGGACCTGTAGTACCTTGTTCATAAAACCTGTGGGAGACTGTCATCTAGAGATGCGCCAACGTTCGTGCTATTCCTGTCCGGTAGATGCACTGAGTCCTGCGTGTCAAAGACAAAAAAAGCCCACACTGGCACCGCAGAACAAGCCCTAATTATTTGGAAATTGCAAGAAAGAAAGTTTCGGCGCCGAGTACATGGCCAGCAAACAAGGATGCCATCGTTCGAGTCTCTATAAGGACAGATGCTAAATAAATATACACTGCCGAAATATGAACTTAAGGCGAGGTATAGAGACACTACTGTACGATATGACTGCAATGTCGTGATTTGGGTCGTGCACTGTAAAAGGTATGAAGAAGTATTACGGGTGGTCGAACAGATATCCGGAAGCAAAGGTTAGGAGGTGTCGCAGGAGATCATCTGGTAACAGTCTAAGGGCTCGCCATCCCAATATCCTCACTAATTTCTCGTACAAGCCGCCGGGCTTTCAATTCCGGCGTAATGTCACCTCGTTCTCTCTCTTTATCTTCCACCCTGCTCTGCCTACACTCGTCGCTCTGCTCTACGGTGGCAGCGCGGAACTCGCCGGCACTCTCGTACTCCTCGGCATCTCCACAGATTGAACTCGAAGAGTTGGGTGGCCGAATCGTCGGCTCGTCATCCGTCGTGTAGCCACCCTCCGTTTCAGTTTCTGTATCAGTTTCGGTGCTGACAATGCTCGCGGCATCATCGTCGCGCGTGCGTACAGCACGCATACTAGGCGTCCGATCGGGCGCCACTGGACCACCATATACATCAATAGCGCCCATAGCCCGTGCAGGGCCTGATACTGCGGTAGGTGATGAACGTGTCTGAAACGTTGATTGATGTGAACGTGATGGAGTTACAGGGCGGGGCACGGAAGGCGATTCTGGTGGCTGTGATTGCGAAAAGAGGATAAGCTGTTCTGCATATCTTTGCATCTCCTCAGGCGATATGACGAGTCTGAAGTCGTTGAGAAGCAAAAACTGGAGTTCGAGTTGATTGAGCTCTGCTTGAGGGAGACCTCCGACCTGAGTAAAGATGGCGAGATGTGGAGTTGAATGAATATTTTGAACAGGTCTATGAAGTTGAAACCCACCTTCGCATACCGCGAATTAGTGTAGAATACATCGCTGAAAAATTTACTGGCGACTGTGACGCCAGCAATGACAAGTCTATGGACGTTATACGAGTCGATAACAAACGTGCGCCCCGTAGCCTCGGAGGCGAGGCGAGACATGCGGTCAAAATACACGAGGAGGGCTAAAAACACCTCGTTTGTAGTTGGACAATACTTGAGTATTCGTAAGAGGTATGATTCGAGTGCGATAGTTGGAATGTTGCGAGCATGGAAAGTGAGGGCGGATGCAGGATTTGACAGGGAGGAACGGGAAGCGGAGGTAAGGGAGCACCAAATAGGGGAGCGAGATGCATCTTCTGATATATTGTTATGCGACAGACCTGCCAAAGTATGGGATGCTGGGTCTGAACCTGAAATTACATCATTGGTGGATGCAATCTGGGTAAGAAGTGAAGCAAGGAGACGAAGCAAGTCGGTTGAGGGGTAGCTATGAACGTCAAAAGATGAAGCAGGGGTTGGTAGGTTTATTTGAGGTGGAGGAATTGGAGAACCAGCTCTTGGAGGGTTATCAGGGGGAGGGACTTTGGTTGTGGCTACTGGAGATTCGGATGTTGGCTGAGTTGACTGTACGGCGTTATGCCGAATTGGAGAAGAGTCTTTTATCACAACTGAAGATCCAGAAGTCGATCTCCGTGGTACTGGTGGGCAGTAGGACGAAGATGGCTGAAATACAGCGGTAGTTGTCGATGCTTGCGGTTTCCAATGTGGAACTCTGCTAGAACTTGGTCGACCAGTGGATGAGGATGAAGTGGTTCTAGGTAGACTTGAGATATTTCTGTCGACGCCAGTTCTATCGATAGTTCTAGCTTCTGTCGGATGGGCGAGAGCGAGCATGATTGAAGATGTTGAAGAGGACCTAGCTAAGTTGAGCGCTCAGCAATCACAAAATGTAAACAATCTTCTTCTACCCCGTGGGAATAGATTACTTAGCGTGTGAGACTGAGACAATTCGTATGTGGCGTTTTGATTGGGCTGTCTTTCATCCCTCCGAGTTCCACAAATCATTGTATTTCTGTGTTCTGTGTCCAATCAAACACCCAACGTTCGTGGTACACGGTGATCTCCGTCAAGTATTTCCATTACTACGCGCATGTCCTATACATTCATGCCGACAGGGCTGGACTCATTTTGATTCGTCGGATGAAGGATCGAATAACCATCCTCCACGGCGATCCCGCTCTGTGGCGTCGCACGTCATCATTCGCCTTTCACTTCAAGGGACAACAGCGGTTCCCACTGACGGCGTTCACCGTGTGGTGACATCGTGGTCGCCATTTTGCAGGAAACTCGCGAATAACAATAACTTTGCTGACTATTGCGAGAACCATAATTTCTCTCGCGGCCACCGTCGGTGCCTCGGGTAATTGCAAATGAGTAGCTAGCCTGGACTTTTTAATTGGGTGCCCTTGATACTCCGAGGCCCTCATAGATGTATTTTAGGACTCGCAACCGCTTGCGTGGCTGTTGTGTATGCGGGTGCAAGGACGTAGGTATCTTGTCCTTGCGAAGCTCTTGTACTCCACATCAGTCCGGATCCTAGACTCTCCTGGTGCGGTCTCTAGTCAGGTAGCGGAAATACGGACAAATTGAACGCCGCACAGAAGATGCGCATAAATTACCATTGGCTTCCAAGCTCGTGAATATATCAATTTGGACGATCGCCGATCGTGATCAGTGCCTTAAGCTTGGACTGCTTGGTGATATCGACAGCGCACTCGGATAATTGGGACAACTGCACGAAGTCAATCCACACATAAGCATATATATAGACGAGTTAAACTAGCTGCTATTTGCCTTGTAGTAACAGCCTGAGTGTCTTGCTTCCCGAGTCCGAAAGACACGTGTGATGTAGGACCGTATTAGTCAAACCTGAGTTCGCTGGCCGCACCTGGTACTATGTTCATTACTTCATGATTGTTTATAAAAACAAACTTTAGTTGAGTTCTAAATCTGACTGAACGACCTGACACAACTCGGTGCAAAGTTCAACAAACTCTCACGGCTTTGTGGCACTCGTTCATTGAGTCAATCACGTTAGCTCTTGGATCCGGATCAGTACCAGTATCAGGGAAAGCAAGGTTGTCAGCAGCATTATGCCTTCTAAAGAGTTCACGCTTGATGATATCGCTAAGGTGAGCACCAGGCCTCCCTTTGCATTCTAGCGCACGCTGAATACGTTTACAGCATAACAAGGAAGGGGACCTCGTGCGTGCTATAACTTCAAGGCTATCAATCGACTATTAATCATCTGCACAGTGGATTGTCATAGACTCCAAAGTTTATGACCTATCCCGCTTCGCAGACCTTCACCCAGGAGGCGCAGGCGTGCTGTATACCGATAGCGTTGGCAAGTGTAGCAACTTCCCCACTCAACTCTCATATTCATATCAATTCCAGCTGGGAAGGATGCTACTCAGGTGTTCTTCGGACTTCACAGACTTGAGGTTCTCCAACGCCCTCAGTATGCCCGTCTCCAAATAGGAGCCATTCGCGGACAGACTGAAAACATCAAACCTCTTGGTCCCGGCGAGCTGTCTCTTGTACCCTATGCTGAGCCCACGTGGCTCACAGCTGGATACTTCAGCCCTTACTATAGTGATAACCACCGCAAATTCCACAAGGCTATGAGGGCATTCTTGATGGAGTTCGTACAACCTGAGGCAGTTAGATGCGAGGAAAATGGGAAGAAGATATCGCAAGAAGTCGTGGATAAATTAAGGCAAACTCCCCTGCGTGAAGCTTGCATAACTCGGTTATTAATGATACCACAGCGAGATAAATTTCCTGGCTATGCGCCTAGGACCAGGCAAGCACCTCAAGGGGCTTACCTTGATGGGTGGCATCGTGAAGCCTGAAGAATACGACTACTTCCATGAAGTAAACATGCTCTTCACAAAGCATCCTCTTTACTCACTCACATGACTTCATAGCTCATTCTTAACACTGAGATTGCGCGGTTTGGCACACGAGCATTCGTGGACGGCCTCCTGAATGGTGGGGTTATTGCCCTCCCTCCCATTATTAATTTCGGAACTCCGGAACAACGAGCCAAGTTTGTACCAGACATTCTGGCTGGCAAGAAGTACATCTCCCTTGCTATCTCAGAAGCGTTTGCAGGCAGCGACGTTAACGGCGCGCAGACTGTTGCAGTGAGAGACGGTGACGAGTGGGTTGTTACTGGAACTAAGAAGTACGCATGCGTGGTTCAAGCTACTTCATTAGAACGGATTACTCATGGTTGTTGCAGGTGGATAACAAATGGGACCTTTTCGGATTACTTCACGACACTGTGTAAAACAGACGTATATTTACTTTTTTGTTGGTCCCCTTCTGAGTTCTTACCACCATTGCAGGCCGGGTTTGTTGTTTTGCTCGTTGAGCGCTCGGATGCTGTATCCACTAAACCGGTGAAAACGTCATACTCCTCAACTGCTGGGACTGCCTTTGTCACATTTGACAAGGCACGGGTGCCGGTTTCGAATACCTTGGGTCAAGTCGGGAAAGGCATATCGATTATCTTTAGCAACTTCAATCATGAGCGGTGGATGGTCACCGCCTCGAGTCTTGGTGCGCAAAGACTTGTGGTTGAAGAGTGTTTGAAGTAAGGGCGCATTACAAGTCATTCTTCAAGTCTTTCTGATGTTGGTGCAATGCTTCAGGTGGACGAACCAACGAATTGCTTTTGGAAAACCTCTTCATGCTCAGGCAGTTATCCGCGCCAAACTTGCGGCAATGATTGCTCGCGTGGAAGCCAGCCAAGCATGGGTAGAGAACATCACGCATCAAATGAATAATGTTAGTCTCCAGATTCTCTGAGTGTTATTGCCCTAAAGTAGAAAATTTAGATGTCTTATGATGAACAGTCCGACAAACTCGCTGGGCCTATTGGATTACTCAAACAGTATGCGATGTCCGCTTCTGTCGTTCCGGTGCTAAACTGATGGACTGTGATGTAGATTTGTGTCAAAGGCTGGTCGTGAAACTGCCCAGGATGCAACTCAGATTTTCGGTGGTCGGGGTATCACCGTTACGGGTATGGGCAAGATCGTCGAGAATGTACGTCTGGACTTTTGCTCTTCCTCAGCGATGTGATGCTAACAGATGTTATGTCAAGTATCATCGCACGTCACCTTTTGATGCCATTCTTGCGGGTGCAGAAGATGTGCTGGGGGATCTTGGTGTGCGGCAGGCTATTAAGAGGATGCCTAAGAATGCCCGGCTGTGACGTACTGGGCGCTGAGCTTCTGCTGTTCAATTGCTACTTTTGTTCATGGGGTCTTAGATTGATGTTCTATCTAGTCGTGCCGGTTGCGTACCACAGGGGTTCTGAACCTGCCCTCATTTAGTCGGGCGTGTTATGTCGGCAAGATCTGTGAATAGAAGAAGTTCGCATACTTTGTACATTGCACAGCACCTCTACAGATCCACTAGATGGAGAGACATTTGCGAGCACCGATCCAGTAAGAAAAATTATACAGCAGCGTTCCCTGTCAATATTTGTTCTGTTCCGCTTCTCTAAAACACGATCAACCCAAATCCTATAGCACCAGAAACCAAAGACCAAGCTCCGCTTCCTCCTGCGCTCAGTCCTGATGCAGCATTTGAAGTTGTGGGCATAGATGTGGACAAATTCACCATACCTTTGGCAGAGATAGATGTTCCCAGAAAACCTCAGGCAAGCAAGCGCCTGGAGGCAACTCAAAGGTCGCCGCAAAGGTCGCCGTGATGGACGGAGACAACACAATGGTCACGGTGATGGACGGAGGTAACGATATGGTTTTAGTTATTGACTCGGATGGAGGTGACGGGATGGATACATTTGTCGGCTTGGACGGAGGTGGCCACTCTGATATAGTTACCGACTCGGACGCAGGCAAGGTACCAAGAATGCTAGAAGTGCCAACACGGGAATAAGTTGAGGGAGTGCGGAATGGGTTTTGACCATGCAAAATGGGCTCTTGGAGTCGATCGTAGCGAGAGATGTCGATGACGTCTGGTAGATGTATTGATCAGGCGATTGACCCATATGTGCTTTACTTATGTGAAGCTAGGCTTACCGTCCATCATAGCTCGTGCCTCTGCTATGCATTTTGGAGCATCGACTGCAGCGCCATGAAAGGACTGGGTGCTGGCAGCCCTAATACATTCCCACCACTGGACGAGAGTTGGCCCATCAGCAAGGACGGAGTCGGGGATGCGAACTTACATCACTGGCAGATTCAGATGCCGAGATAGCCCAATAAGGAACCGGACGAGATAAAACAAGGGTAGCAGCCGCTGATAAGAGCACTGCGAGGCAAGCACGCATTGTTAACTTTCGTTATAAGATCGTATCACGAAGATCGAGAAAGCTCGTTGGGAGAGGGAAAGGAACACATTGGCCCAGGAGCACAGCATATAAGTGCAAAGATGCCAGCGTTAATTTGCAATCATGGTGATCTACGCATACGCCGGTTTATGCTCCCGACATTCTAGTTTTCTGGCAGACATGAATCTATTACAATTGATGTCATAGCTACCCCGAGTTGTGTCTGCAGCTGCCAAGCGGGCAGAACTATTTTGTAGGTGCCAACGCCGATGTACGAGGTTCCGAAACTGATCCAAGTGTCAACATTGATGTCACGGACTTAGGTGCTGACATGGACTCCGGTGCAGACACAGACGGAGGTGAAGTACCGGCAACGGTAAAAGTTCTGGCTCGGGAGGGTGGGGTGCGGGACGGGTTTTGACCAGGGAAGGTGGGCTCTTGGAGTGAATAGCCATAATCGTAGCGGGTGCAGTATGCAGTCATAGAATATCCCTGATCACTCGAGCTAGTACATCAACATGGAGGTCAGGATTTCAAGCTTACAGTATTCAATTCATTTTGGACAGTCGCAGCTTGAGGTGCCCTGTAAAGAAACGGAGTTTTGTACGAGGGACTCAGCAACGTCTGGACAGACTGAGTCAGGTAAGAAGCGCTTGGACGAGATGAGACAAAGGTAGCAGCCGCTGATAAGATTATGAGGCAGATTGTAGAGGCATGCGTCATTGGCTGTCGTTATAAGGTATCACGAAGACCTAGAAGAGCTCCCTGGGAGGAAGACCATATGGGCCCAGGAGCACAGTACATAAGTGCAAAGATGCCAGCAGGCGAACTCCAGTGAACAGTCGCAAGAGCAAACGAGAGCTCCCGTAAGTCTCAGCCAGATCGGCTCGCCGTGGCTCGTTATTTTGGCCATTTTCTCGTTGAGGTTACATTCGCAGGTGCCGTTGTCCGGTTCAGCACGAGAATTAAGAACCACCAGCAAACCCCAGAGCCAGACCCTTGTGAACGGTTCAGAACAGTCAAGTTCAGTTTTTTGAAGAGTCCGAATTAGAATTGGAAATCCAACCCGCCAATACGAGGACATCTCGATCCTGGCTCAAGTACTCGGACACTCGTTCTGCAGCGGAGTTACCATATTAGGCAACTCCACGCACGGTACTTTCGACACGAGTTTTTCCCCCAGTCTCTTACATTCGACTGGGGGTAAGTCATACTTCAGTATATCTACTACATTCCTTACTGATGTACCATAGAACTCACTAGAGTTCGTTCTATCTAGCCCAGCACTCGTCTTCTATTAGCATCGAATACGATGTCCACCATTTCCTTAGCGACTGCCGCATTTTCTTTGTCAGTGTACTCGTCAAAAATGAAAAAAAATACATTCATCAAATCGCAACCGATTCGGAGGTGATCTTACAAAATAAGTGGTCAGTGGTTTATAGTTTGCCAGTGCTAAAATACACACCTCTCGGTGCATCCGGACAAGCAAAGTACTGCTAGCCAGGCTATAAGCACAGAATGTATCAACCATTTTCAGGATGAGAGTTAGATATTGGTACAACCGAAATCACACTTGTCAAATGCCTCCTGTGACTTGAGGTACAGAGCCCTAAAATTACGCAATGCAGCATCGCCTTCCATTTTCACATCCTCGAAATGAGGGTCGATGGCACGAGGCCAGGGCCAGTTGACCATGGTGTCTAGGAGGTAAAACATCATCTTTGCATGAGTATCCATGACCTCCAATATATGGTTTCCAAAGATAAGTGCGGGTGTTTACAAGAGGAGCTAGAAATATTATTGCTGATCAGAGTTCGCTAGAATAGTTTTGGAGTCTAGGTACGAGTCAGTACGAGTTGTTACTACGAGCTACAAGACGACATACCTCAGCGAAGCTTTGGAACAACGCTGAGGTGAAAACGACAAGAATGCCCGCCGGCTGTGAATATTCTCGTACTGGGCGCTGAGCTTCTGCTGTTTAATGTTCATGGGGTCTTAGATTGGTGTCTTATAGTCGTGCCGGTTGCGTACCACAGGGGATTTGGACCTGCCCTCATTTAGTCAGGCGTGTTATGTGGGCAAGATCTGTGAATAGAAGAAGTTCGCATACTTTGTACATTGCACAGCACCTGTACAGATCCCCTAGATGGAAAGACATTTGCGAGCGCCGATCCAGTGAGAAAAGTGATACAGCAGTGTTCCCAGTCAATGTTCTGTTCTGCTTCTCTAAAACATAATCAATCCTAATCCTATAGCACCAGAAACCAAAGACCAAGCTCCGCTTCCTCCTGCACTTAGTCCTAATGCCGCACTGGGCGTGGATGTGGACGAAGTCACCATAACTTTGGCAGGTCGCTAGGAAGCCTGAGGCGTGGAAGTGCATGGAGGGAACGTAAAGGTCCCCAAATAGATGGACGGAAGTGACGGCATGGATGTAGTTATGGACGGAAGTAAAGATATGGATATAGTTGTCGACTCAGACGGAGGTGACCACTCAAACATAGTGAACCAATCGGATGGTAAGGTACGATAAATGCTAGAAGTGCTAACACGGGAATAGGTTGAGGGAGTGCGGGACGGGTCTTGACCAGGCAAAGTGAGCTTTTGGAGTGGATAGCCGCAATCGCAGCAAGAGACGTAGAAGTCTGGTAGATGTATTGATCAGGCAATTGACCCATGTGTGCTTTACTTATGTGAAGTTAAGCTTACCGTCCATATCAGCTTGTGCCACTGTGTAATCTGTACCATCAATTACAGCGCCAGCGCATAACACACAGTTGTAGTAGCTTGTTTGAAAGGACTGGGTGTAGCATGATGCGCCAGCCATAGTACATGCCTGGATGAGAGTTAGCCTACCAGCAAGGACAGAGTCGGGGATGCGATCTTACAGCATTAAATCCGGTTTGGAAAAGGTCACAGGTTGGGCTGCACTCCCAGAGAACGTCACTGCCCCATTGTTTGTATGTTAAACTCGACACCCCGAAGATATTGTATGGTGCACTCGACAGAGTCGACACCCCCAAAAAAGACTCGGTCCAAGGATTTAGATGAGACAAAACAAGGGTAGCAGCCGCTGATAAAAGTACTGCGAGGCAAGCACGCATTGTTAACTTTTGTTATAAGGTCGTGTCGCGAAGAATCAAGATCGAGAAGGCTCGTTGGGAGGGGGAGGTCATATTGGCCCAGGAGCACAGTATATAAGTGCAAAGATGCCAGCAATCATGGTGATCTTGTGTCATGCACGCATACGCCGGTCCATGCTCCCGACATTCTAATTTGCGAATTGACGTCATAGCTACCCTGAGTTGCAAGTCTGCGGCTGCCACGTGGGCAGAACCATTTTGAAGAAGTTCTGCTATCGGCGAGATCTATCAATTCAGTTTGCATAAGTAATGGCGCAGCCATGTGTGAGAAAGTGTTCAAACGTTCATTGAGATAGCTGGACTTGAAAAGATTTGGCTGATTTGATTTGTGAATTCAAATCGTGTTGTTCCGTTGCTCACAGCGCCGCATTACATAATATTCCGTGTGAGCACCGAGTTCATTGAAAGCTCTGACAATAGCGGTTCTCAAAGTCAAACGTAGAAAAAAATTCACAGCAAGATTTTGCGAAATTGGATGTTGCCGGTACGGCAGCTTTCAAACTCCGCTCTGCCCTGTCAGCATCTGTCAGCGTGTGTGCTCGACATCGTCATTGCTGGCGTCGACAGCGCCAAAGCATCAATCCGATCATTAATCGTTGTCGTAATAAACGCCCTGAATCATGTCACGCTCTGGACAGAGAGGTCGAGGTGGTGGAGTCCGAGCCAGTGCGTCTGCCAGTATGGACACTGGGAAGAAATGCACTATCCATTGGGAGGGGGTTCGTAGTGCTCGTACGGAACGTCTACTTGCCTGGTGCAAGGAAAATGAAGACGCACGCATCAAGCTTTTCTCCGATTCTGCAAAGGACGCCAAGGAGCAAGGTCGGAAGAAGAAGCAGAGTGGAACTTCGAGAGATACCTTCTATTCACAGGTCGCACAAGCTGTATTTTCAAATGACGAGGATCCGGAGGTCCAACGACTCTTCAAGGAGGACCCAAAGGCATTTATTAAACCAGTTTCAACTCGTTTTGGCACGTACGTATCTCAGCCCTGCATTGTCCCCCCTCCCACTAGAATCACTGATCAGATGTTTTAGGCTCAAGAAAAAATATAATGAGTTCAACAAGGAGCTCAAGCAGTCAGGAGCTGGAAAGACGTATGCGGAGCTGCAAGAGGATCCAACGATGAAGTCGTTGATCGGTAAGTTTTAGCTGCTGTTGAACTGCACATGTCTTAATAATATCTCTGTCAGATACAAAGCTTGAAAAATTTCCCTGGTGGCCTGAGCTTCACGGCTGGTGGCGCACAAACCCAGCTTTCAATTACGCCTTCTCTACTGCGGATACAGGGCAAGATTTTGCGGCCGCTGCATTAGAACACTTTGCTATTTCAAAGCAACCACCAGCACCAGCCACAGGCGACGACGACACTCACACAGACGAGGATATCGAAGACGGAGAAATAGTTGAGATTAGCGCTCGTACTACAGGTGATGCTGGCGTTATAGATGTGCCAGATGATATGATGGTTGACCAGCCCCCCTGCATGGAGTCACTCGAATCACCGTTGTCAGCACCATCGCCGCTGTTATTTTCGGACCATGGTCCTAGCGACACGCCCAACTCATTCTCACTAGCTCCATTACCACACTGGTACCAACGACCCCAACTCCCTCCCATCGCAACTTCCAACACACACGGCGTGATATCATTGAACTCTCCTGAGCGCTCACCAGTACCCCATCACAGCACCACCCAGAATTCACCTTTTTTTTCTGATTTCAAGGAGTCATCACCTAGCCCCCAGTCCACACCCATTGACTCGGAAGACTCGGACATTGGTGCTAGCCGAGCGCTGCAGTCTCTTCGTGTCAGCTCACTCAAAGGAAGTCGCGCAAGTTCACCTTCTCTTTCTACAAAGCAGTCTCGTGCACATGCACCTACTCAGAGTGCTTCGCCTCAATCTAGTCGCCCCCCCTCTTCATCACGCAAACGCCCTGGTGGCAGCGTTCTTGATCAGACCTCTGCTGCTGCAGATAGGATGTCTCAGACGGCAGAGTCCCTAATGACACACCTTAACAGCAAACGTGAGGGTCGTGTGGAGCAAGAACGCTATAAACGCATGAAACTTGAGACCGAAATTTGGGCTCGTGATCTCAAGGCCCGCAGTGCTCGTGATGAGCGGGAGCATGCGATGCATCTATCTGACCAAGATCATCTCCACCAGCAGGAGAGGATGACTCAACAAATTGAATTTGCAAGAATTGAGATTGAGCTATCTCGTGCACGTCGGGAGGAGGAGGAGGCTCGAATTCGTCGTATTGCCTTGGAGCGTGGTCTTGATCAAAACTAAGTAGGTTTGTACTATGTCGTCATGTAACAGGTTTTCAGGAAATGCATTCCATTTTGTACTCGATGGTGCCAACTCAGAGAGCTCGCCAAAACACTCCTTTCTCAAGAAAATCTCAAGCGCAACTGACCCCTCCTAGATCTCACCAAAACGCTCCTTTCTCGAGAAAATCTCAAGCTCAACCGACCCCTCCTAGAGCTCGCCAAAACGCTCCTTTCTCAAGAAAATCTCAAGCGCAACTGACCCCTCCTAGATCTCACCAAAACGCTCCTTTCTCGAGAAAATCTCAAGCTCAACCGACCCCTCCTAGAGCTCGCCAAAACGCTCCTTTCTCGAGAAAATCTCAAGCATGACTGACCCCTCTTTAGGTACTAAAGAGGACGAAGAACTTCTACTTGACAAAGAGCACTCACTAAAACGCTCCTTTCTCGAGAAAATCTCAAGCATGACCTTGCGAGCCAAAAGGAAGATGTATAGGTACAAGTACATTTAATATAATACTAACTACCTTCGCTCCAACGACGAAAGCAACCGCGTCTTTAACATGTTACGAAAATCCTGCCCCACAGTTCCAATGTAAGTCTGATCACCTACTGCGCCACCCTCTTGCTGATCATCCTCTCCTCCGTCACTGTCAGCTCGCCTGGACCTCCGAGTTGGCTGATAGAAGCGTATGTTTGAGTCTTCGCAGTTTCTTTTTTCCTCAATTTCAACAATTAAGTTGTGCAGAATGAAGCACGAACGGATCCACATGTTTGCATAGTCGAGGTCCTTCTGGCTTTGGATCGGGATGCGAAGCTCCTGCAGTGATTGGAACCGGCCCTTGATAGAGCCGAAAAAGTGCTCTGAACGAACACGGACCTAGACACTGGGTGAGGACTACGAAAGTATATTAGTATCGATGCTCACTGTTGACAGGTTATAATTGAATGTCTTTTGCTCGGCCGTCAAGCACCCTCCCGCTGGCCGTTTATACGGCGGCACACACCAAGTTCGCGCAGCATACGCCGAGTCTGCCCACAACCACTCTCCCGCACCAAAAAACGACTTGGGATCCCGGGAGACCCTCGTTCGTGCAAATATGTTCGAGTCGTGAAGACTCCCGGGTACGCCAATGACATAGTCGACGATACGCAGATTGTGGGGAAATACGACGACCTTTCGAATTGTAAGTCACTGCGCTGCACACTGAGCCGATAGTAGATACTTACCTGCGCTGTTAGAGAGTAGTCAGAGTTCTTGTCAAAGAACCCTTCACCGTGCCAACCAGGCTTCTCGTGTAGAGGGGACGGAGTCCCATCTACACAAAGAAAACCGCCGCGCCACTCACGACATGTCCTCTGCTCCACGTACGCTTTTGCCCGCTCTCGCTCGATCTGATCCTCACGATCGAGCGGATCAAAATGAATGGCGTGATCGTGCAGTTGCAAGATCACGATCATGACTCGTTTGTAGCAGTTGTAGACGGTCCCTACGGACACTCCAGCCCAATCAGATATGTCTTTGGTAGTCGCAGCATTGCCATAATGGCCGACACCATTGAGAAAGATCGCGAGCTGGACTGCAACAGGAAGTTGTGGATTGTTCGAATTATTATGGAAAATGGGGTGGGCTTGGATTAACGTCGTGAGTTCATCGAACACCTCTGCATCAACGCGAAGCTTGCGGCGAAACTTTTCAGGTGATAACAGCGCCCATTCTTGCAGCAGGTGTAGCTGCGGTGCGCGAGTCAGAGATGGACGCACGTCAAGTACCCAACACTTCTCCACTTCATCGTGCAGTGCCCCGATCGCATCAATAAAATGCGTAAACACTTGATCACACATGTCCGGGATATCGAGCGATAGAACATCGGAATACGCTGTCGAAAGCGATGTTAGAGAGCTGATGGACAAAGTGGATATGACGGATGACGTAGGGGACTCTGGCCATGTTGGCGACGCAGTCCGTATGCTGACATCTGACCCTCCATGACTACCGGTAGTATCATCATCCGATCCCTTATCAGAGCCATCCTCAAGTAGCTCATCAACCATGAATTCGACGAACTCCATGTATCGCGCGACTGTAAGATCATTTGTGGTTTTCTTCAGGCTACGTAGTAGCCTTTTTCGATCCGATTCTCGAGGCATGTTGAAGATGTTATTATTGAAGTCCGGAGACCGTGTCTGCGCCCTCGAAAGTCAATAGTTATAGATATGATGGTCACCGTAGGGTACGATGATGATGGGTCACGGTATGTATGAGTTTGATTTGTCATCGTCGGAGATTTAATTATCGGCAACTCGCAAAACTCTTAGAGCTAGTACGGTAACCAAAGTTTGACTGAAGTTGACAAATTTGGAATACTACGTCGGTACAAGCCGATGTCGGGGTTTTAACATGCATAACCGTGACACTACTGATTAAGATTGTTAGTAACCATGTCTCGCAACATGGAACCACTACCCTTTGATCCTCTGTTCAATAGACCATTACTTTCCGAGCTGTTACTTGATCGACTCATTCCACCGCCGGACCAGGCAAGATCTGCAGGATCGGTGACCCAAGAACGACTCATTCGATATGTGCTACTCATGATCAGTATCATCGCTGCTGCAACTGAATCATTCCTGGAAACCGCATTGCCAAAAGAGCCTGAACCATATCACACGTCGGCACTCAAGGGTGAAGAATGGCTGATGGAATTGATCGTTGGTCACCCTCAGCGCATCCGCTGTGAACTTGGCGTGCATGCACACGTCTTTGAAAAGCTGATCATGGAACTTCGTGGTCTTGGTCATGGCAGATCTCGCTATGTCTCGCTGGAAGAACAATTAGCTATCTTTCTGTACACTTGTGTCACTGGTTTGACAATCAGACACGTTGGAGAGCGGTTCCAGAGGTCTAGTGATACAATTTCGAAGTGAGTCTTCAATCTACTATCAGTAACATTAGCTTGATCATTTGTATCAGGTATTTTCGCAAGATGTTGTTCATATTTGCATCCCCCCCATTCTATTCTGCGCATGTACACTTTCCCGATGGCAGCACCGTCCCCGACAAGATTCGCCATGACCCGAAATTCTGGCCCTACTTCAAAGGCGCTATTGGTGCCATAGATGGCAGTCATA